GCAGCGTGGCCGGCGGCAAGTTCGACGTCAAGGACAAGGACCACAAGCTGCCGAGCACGACGCGGACGGTCATCAAGCTGATCGGCATCATCTTCAAGCTCATCATCTGGATCCTGACAGTTCTCTTCAAGGCCGTGTCTGCCATTGTCGTCGGGCTGAGCAAGTGCATCACGAGCAAGTAGCAGAACCGACTTTTGCTGGCGAGCTGGCGTATAATTTGTATGGGCATGGCGTTGTATGGTGGGAAAAGCGGGAGGGTCTCCAGAAGCGCCGGCGTATACTTGGCGGACTCATTGTACTTCCTTGTTCCTATCACCCCGTTCAAGTGGGCTTTCACCCGAGCTGGTTTCAATTATTTCTGTACATATTTCATTCATACTCATTCCCCCGAACTAGGTAGCTCGAAGGTCAAAGGACCTATACATGCTGTTTCATAATGCACAAAGACACCCATTGACGCCCAGACGCCTCTCTCTCGAATTGATATATTTCCGTTGACAAACTCTCGTGATCTGTCCGTGCACGCGCTCACCGCTTCCGCTCGCGGACCTTGATCTTCTTGCCTGACTTGGTGACACCGCCCATGGCCGTCGCCGTCTTGGCCATCTGCGCACGCTGCAGCTCGAGCTTGCCTTCGGCCCGCGTGAGGACCGTCACCTTCCGGCGCGCGGCCTCGAGCCGCCGCTCCAGCTTGCCGAGGAGGACCACCTTCTGCTCGGTGCGCAGGGCGTCCTCCTCCTCTTTCGTGCGGGGTGCTGGCTTCTTGCTCTTGGTCTGTGATGTTGTATTGGCCATCGTCGTCGTCTTGTCGCCATCGTGTTCGTCCGACATGACATCACCGGCGGCACTGTCGTCGTCGTCGTCGTCATCATCGTCGACCTGCATCGCCATGTCGCCACGCAGCATATCCTCCCGCCCCTCGACGTCCTCCGAGAAGACAAACTTCTTCTTCTTGCGCGGCCGCTCGCCGTCCAGGTCGTCATCGTCGTCATCCAGCCCCGCGAACTCGTCGTCGCTGTCCTCTCCTCCCCTCTTGACACCCAGCCCTTCCAGACTGCCCCCGAGCGCAATGACCCGCTCCTCGAGCACTCTCACATCCTTGCTCGCCACGTTCCTCATCGTCCGGAGGTACCCGAGATCCTGCGTCTTCAGCAACCTGCTGACCTCGACATCCATGCCCTTGAGGCTGCCCCTGTCCCCGTCGACGATGCCGTCCCACTTGCGCCCTTTGCTCGACGTCGCGCCGCGCACGGGTCCGCGCGCCCGCCCGCCTCTGCTCATCATCCCAAAGTAGAACTCGTCCTCGTTCTTGTCCGCCGCCTTGGCGCGCAGGTTCTTCAGCGTCGCCTGCTTCTTCTTGTGGTCGGCCGCGCGCAGCGAGTAGTCCTTGTGCTTCTCGAGCAGGCCGTACTTGGCGCGCTCGAGCGGCTGCCCGCGCTCGCGGTGCTGCCGCCGCTGCACGGCGTTGCGCATGGACGACGACATGGTTATGGCTGCGGTGTGGTGTGGTGTGTGTGTGTGTGATGCTTTTGGTATCTTTTGGCGGTGGTCTTGTGGTCGTTTAGTCGGCCGGGCTCCTTCTGGGCAGATCTTGGAAGAAATCGGCTGTAGTCGCTGTCTCTGAGTCGTGCGACTGGTGTGTCGTAGCTGTAGGCACGCGTGTACGGCCGGAGTCCCGTGTCGTGCCTACCGGGGAGCTCGTCGGGGTGGTCGCTGTGCTGCTCGTTCTAGACTGGCGGTGCGGACTAGAGGACGGCAGTGCTCGTGTTTGCAGTCGTTGAGAGTGGCTAACTTCAGAGCTTTTTTGGTATGTCCGCCTTGCGTGTACGCGTGTGCGTATCGAAAAGAGTGAGACTCGTGGTCGGCAGAGTGGTCACGGAGGTTGCGCTGCGGATTGCGGAGGTGAAGGCTGCTTGCAAAATGCATCGCCAGCCGATGCGAGCCTGGATTTCAACTTTTTAGTGGAGCCTGCCGCGCCCCACTTCAGTACCCTTCGCGCTGCAAGCACTGGCGCTTTGCCCATGGGAGCAATCAAGCATGGACGACCTTACACTCGTGACGTGACAAATGAATTTGCAAGAAAGATATAGAACAGCATGATGTGTCACGGGATATTCAATTGTTTGGTCCATGAGTAGGAACAATAAATAACAAGCCTTCAAAGGCCGACCTCTCAACACTTGAGATTGATCCCTCTTCTCTTCTCCGTCTCCCGAATCTCAAACATGATCTGAGCACCGCAGAACAGCGCAATGAGAGCTGCAGCACAGAACGTCACGCCTGGAGTTGGGGAGTAGGTATGTTAGCAAGCCTGTGCGCGACGATAACGTGGGGCTCTGGCATCAGAATGACTTACCTGAATGATCTCTTGCGATCCCGTTGATGATCTGCTTCATCCCATCCACTCCCACGGCGTATCCAATCAGGTTCGCAGACATCATCATGAGGATATTGATCACAGCTCCCACACAGGATATCATTCTGTAAGCGGTGGGCTGCGACTCCCACTTCCTCTTGGGGAAGAGCGCGCCTGCCATCATCTCGGGCATCATGAAGAACACGACGAGCCAGCCCCAAATGAGCAGGCGGAGCTGGATATCGTGCCACAGAGCGACGAACGTGAAGACGAGCATGTAGGTCACGATGGACCGCGCGGCGCCAGCCCACCCCTTGAAGCTCGCGCCCCCAAGGGGCATGTAGATGTAGCGCAGGGACCAGCGGTAGAAGCTTCGGTGCCAGCTGCGCCAGAAGGACAAGGTGCTGTAGTTGTCGCTGACGCAGCGAATCATGTTCTCCGGCGGGTCGATGCCGTCGACCAGCGCCCAGAGTCGGAACAGCCGCCAGGGCAGGAGCAGCTTGAGCCAGATGAGGTGCAGCTGGAAATAGCTTAGCATGCTGAGCTGCGCGGCGGTGTAGTCGGCCCAGTTGGGGTTGGCATTGGAGATGGCCTGCACGTAGTCGAAGTGCAGCACAACCTCCATGACAAGGAGGGTGATCAGGAACCGGATGCCGTAGCGGATAGTGCGGCTCGTCTCGATAGTCGCAGACTTGTACTTTGCTTGCGCAATGTAGTCATTGAAAGTGATGATCGGCCCCGTCAGGTAGAGTGGTGCATATATCACATAAGCCACGTAGTTCCGGAACGAATAGTCCCTGGGCTGCGCCGGGATGGACACACGCTCACGCTCACTGAGCGCTGAAGGGTCGAGTTGCTTCTTCTAGGACGATCATCGTCAGCGTCTCTACAGTGAGGAGGCATGGGACGAGACATTTGGCTTACCTCGAGGATATCTTGCTGGCTACGATCCGAGCTCCAGTAGTAGTCTAAGTTGAAGCTGATGAGCCGCAGGACGGTGATGTTGAACAGAATCTCCCAGCGTCCCATGAGCCCACCGAAGCTGTCGAGCCACTTTCCCCATGCAACAAGGCTTGTATCAGCATCCAACACTGCTCCCTTGCTTGATACACCGGCTAGGAACGCAGCGATTCGCTCCATCTTGTAGCCCTGGCAGAGTTCGTTGGCGAACAAAAGGCCAATATTGAAGATCCAAGTAGCGGCAGGGACATATTTGCGCGGAAGGGCCGTCGCGATCTTGTAGTTGAGGAACAAGATCAGAAGTACTTTCGCGGCCGAGAAGCCGTGCAGCACTATCAAGAACTTTATCGCAAACTTGAAGTCGTAGCCGGCCCGCTGGTCCAGGCGTCGCTGTGCGTCCTCGGCCGGGGTCGTTGTCGTCAGATCATTGGCTTTCTTGCGGTGGAAGATGGCTGCGTATACTCGGCGCATGATCGGGTGGATGACGAGCAAAGTCATCATATACGGCAGGTTGGTTCGAAAGGTGTGGTATTGCGAGTCGGACGTGTCGATCTTGCGACCAGGAATCCAGCCTGGAGACAGGAGGCGCTCGAACTTGTGGTAGGCGGGATGGTCGGCTGTGGTGGGTGGCGTAAGTCAGCACTCCAGACCTCAAAGAGTAGGCATCTATCTACGCCTGTGGGTTCTACACACATCTCGAGGCCTGGTATGGGATGTAGAACATCGCTGGTAGGATCGCGCCAATGTAGAACAGGTACAGATAGAGCTCGGGTGTTTTCCACTTGGAGGGCTGGCCGGCCGAGTTCCAGCTTGCAGCACGCTCCTTGCTGCTCTTCGCGTCGCGTTCGTCATGGCGGGCGTCGACGACGGTCTTGTACGGGACGGTGGCGGGGTTCGTGAACCGGGTATCGAGGGTGTCGAGGTCGTAAAGGTTGCGGAGGAAGGTGAGGATGGCAGCCATGGCGGCAGTGCCGGGGACCTTGTCAAGGTCGCCGGCTTCTGGGGCAAGTCAAGTATATCGAGGCGATTTGAAGAATTCAGTGACGACACATGGTTAAGGTATCCAGAGCTTGAAGGTGTCTTCGTCAAGCTTATGGTGTTTTGGTAGTCTTTCGAGATTCAAGTTTGGGGCATGCAACACGTCGTCTGGAAGCTCGGAGTGGGCCGCGGGTCCCGCTTGAGCCAAGGGCGCTGATCAGGGGTTGCAGCTTGCCGAAGCATCAGCTGCAAGCCTCGTATTGAGCTATGTCCGGGTTCACGACCAGGCCTCGGTCTGGGTAACACAGGGTCCAAAGCGACGGTCCGGTACATGCTTCAGTGTAAATGAGATACGAGACGATTCTCCACACATTCACCGTATATAATAATCGGACGAAAGATGAAGGGACTCCAGTGTCATTAAGCCACCGTCGGCCAGCAGCTCACCAACAAGGATCGATCGAATCCTCCCAAAGTCACGTCGAGCGACGAAAATCTAAACTCAATGTGAGACTACATGCAAGCCAAAAAGGAGAAACACTTCAGGAAAGACCGGACAAACCCCTCTAGAGAATGAAGGATGACTGCAAGAATGCGCAACAACGCAAGTGATGATCAACAATGCTCCCGAGCGAGGGTGTCAAAAAGTCAAAAAGTCAAAAAATTGGTGCGATAAATCCCACTGGGTGGGATGCATCGGGAATTGAGCCCGATGCGGGGGTCGAACCCGCAACCTTGAGATTGGAATGTTTGTTCCAATGGAATAAGAGTCTCACGCTCTACCGATTGAGCTAACCGGGCAGTCGTATTGACTGACTGTGTTGAAAATGCTGCGGTTTATCGCTGCTTGTCTCTGCTTCACGCATTGAGTAGTCTCGGAAGACAACAGCAACTTGGGTGCTGGCGAAAGATGATTCTTCAGGAGCCTGACAATGCACAGACTGGTTGCTTAGATCATGGCATTGATCTTGAATGAGGAAAGGAACCTTTGTAGCACATTACTCGGACCTTGGAGCAAACCAACATAATTGGACTTGGTGGTTTGACTTACACACCTACAAACTCATTCTTGGCTTGATGTTGGCAAAGCCTCGATCATCGTTCATACTACCGTTTTCTCTTCAAAACGATCTTAGTACACATAGTAAGCCTGCGTCAGGGGTAAAGTCTCGGCCGGCTCCGCCGTGCAGTGCACCCCGTCCGCCTCGACCGTGTACGTCTCCGGGTCGACCCTCATCCGCGGCATCGTGTCGTTGAACTTCATGTCCCGCTTGCCAATGTTGCGGCAGTTCTTGACAGGCTCGATGCGCTTGCGCAGGCCGTACGTCTGGACAGTACCCGTGTCGATGCTCGCCTGCGAGACGAATAGAACGGACGTAGAGGGCACGAGAGGCGCAAGCATGGGCCTGCCAATGACGGGCTGGATCGTGGGGATCGAGGCGTTTGGATCACCCTAGGTCGTAGACTCGTCAGTATATGAAGGCTAGCGGGTCTGCATACACCTGAGTGCAGAAGTTTTCCGCAGGATCTTGTTGGGTTGGGCACACTTACCATCTGCGCCCAGGCAATGAGGCCGCTCTTGACCACCAGATTCGGCTTTGTCCCAAACCAAGCTGGGTCCCAGACCACGAAGTCTGCCAGCTTTCCGACCTCGATGCTGCCTATGAGATGCCCGAATCCTTGCGCAATCGCCGGGTTGACAGTGTACTTGCTCACATATCTCTTGACCCTGAAGTTATCCGCCCCAGTCCCCTCGTCCTCGGGGAGGTATCCGCGCTGCAGCTTGTTCTTGTGGGCTGTGTTCCACGTACGGAGCACGACCTCGCCGCAGCGGCCCATAGCCTGAGAGTCGCTCGACATCATGCTGATGGCGCCGAGGTCGTGCAGGACGTCCTCGGCGGCTATGGTCTCGGCCCGGATGCGCGACTCAGCGAACGCCACGTCCTCGGGGATGTCCTTGGACAAATGGTGGCAGACCATGAGCATGTCGAGGTGCTCGTCGAGCGTGTTGCGCGTGTAGGGGCGGGTCGGGTTCGTTGAGCTAGGCAGCACGTTCGGGTGCTCGACCACGCTGATGATGTCGGGCGCGTGCCCTCCGCCGGCGCCCTCGGTGTGGTACGTGTGGATGGTGCGGTTCTTGAAGGCGGCGATCGTGCTCTCCACGTAGCCGGACTCGTTGAGCGTGTCGGTGTGGATGAGACACTGCACGTCGAGCTCGTCGCAGACCGTGAGGCAGGAGTCGATGGCGGCGGGTGTCGTGCCCCAGTCTTCGTGGAGCTTGAGGCCACACTGGCCAGCGATGATCTGCTCACGCAGGGCCGTTGGGTCGCAGTCGTTGCCCTTGCCGGTGATGCCCACATTGACAGGCAGTGTATCACACGCTTGCAGCACCAACCTCGTGTAATTCGCTCCAGGCGTGCAGGTAGTAGCACATGTTCCAGCACTGCAGCGTTGTCTCGTCAGTGGAGTTCTCACACACAATCTGCCACAGACTTCGGCAGCCAAACTCACCTAGGACCAACGCCTCCTCCAAGGATGGTAGTGATTCCCGAAGACAGACTCTCGTTCGCTTGCTGAGGGCAAATGAAGTGAATATGCGAATCGATCCCACCAGCAGTCACAATCTTGCCCTCCCCTGCAATGACATCCGTACAGCTGCCAACGATCATGCCTGGCGTAACGCCATCCATGACATCCGGGTTTCCCGCCTTGCCGATGGCAACGATGAGGCCGTTCTTGACGCCAATATCGGCCTTGTAGATGCCACTCCAGTCCACAATCAGAGCATTCACGATTACCAGGTCCAAAGACTCCGCATCGGGACAGCCGCTCATCTGGCCCATGCCCTCGCGGAGCGTCTTGCCTCCGCCAAACTTGCACTCGTCGCCGTAGACAGTCAGGTCTCTCTCGACCTTGACCCAGAGATCCGTGAGACCCAGACGGACAACGTCACCCGTGGTCGGGCCGAACATGGTCTTGTAGGCAGCCCGGTCCATCGAATATCCGTCGACGGTAAGAGCCATGTCGCCCGCCGGCTCGGGGGCGTGCGCAAAACCCGCTCGCTGCAGGTTTTCCACGATCTCCGCAGCACGAGACAAGTCGACCTTCCCAGACGCGAGGTTGTTGCCGCCGCGGATGACCTTGTTCCCGCCGATCTCGACCAGCGTCACGGTCTTGGTATCGCCGGGCTCGAACCGCACCGACGTGCCAGCGGGGATATCCAGCCGGAATCCGTACGCGCGCTCACGATCGAATTCGAGCAAAGGGTTGGTCTCGATGAAGTGGTAGTGGCTGCCAATCTGCACGGGGCGGTCGCCCTTACTCGTCACCCGCAGGCGGATCCGGCGGCGGTCCTCGTTGAGCTTGACCCGGACGTCCTTGACGACGATGACCGCGCCTGGCTCGTTGTGCGGCTCGTACGACTCGGCGCTGGGCATCGGGAACAGCCGCTGGCTGGGCACGGGGAGGAAGCTGCCGTACAGTGCCTTCTCGAGGTCTCCATCCTCAGTAGAGATCGGGTTATGCACAGTCACGAGATATGTGCCGACGGGGAAGGTTCCCTCGACCTGGATCTCGTGGAGGGTCGCAGGGACAGAGGGTAAGACGTGGCGGCGGCCGAGCATGGTGGCCCCAATGGCCATCAGGTCGGCCACAGTGTGCTGCCCATCGCGGATGAGCTCCTGCAGGTTGCTGGCGATCAATGCCTGTGGGATATCGATCTTAGCGGGTGGCTCACAAGCGAAGCTCGTCGTTGAGCCGAAATTACCAAGACACCACTTCACTGGATCCTCTACACTTACATTAGCCTCGGCATGGTTCAGCTTGACACCTCTGGCAAGTCTCTTCTGCGCCAGGAATCCGAGTTGCGAGACTACGAGCTTATCAAGCTGTATTGTGGTGAGGCGAGGCACTCTGGTCAGCATACTGGCAGGCGTGGGCTTCAACAGGCAATCAAGATGTGCTACTCGCCTCCTTGGGAACAAGATGCATCCTCAAGCGAAAAGTGCTGGCTTGCCAGAGCCTCGCTGTCTTTGCTAATGATCAATTGAAGTTGGCAGATGGGAAAGAGAGCGTTCCCGGGTGACGTTGATCTGTTAGACTTCTAAGCTGCCCGACAGGGCGTACTTGCAGACCAGCGGAGGGCACCTCGAGGTACGTAATGAGAAGTAGGTAGCTCTAGCTGATAAGACCCTCCAAGCTTCGGAACTCTCTCCCCTCTCTCCCCTGCAGGACGTGCAGCGGAGTGGGGTATTATGCGGCGACCTCAAGGTGCATGGAATCCAACATCGGAGCCCCGCAACCCATTGAGACTCCAAAGGTCGAGCGTGAAAAGCCGATCTAAACATGGCACAGCTTTGGGGAAAGATGAGCAAGAGATGTGCGCAAGGGGTGTTGCTCATGTTCGTGAAGCATCGGGTGACAAGACCACCTGCATATTTCATAGAAAGTTGATAGTCCCGTCCGGCTAACGCCATACTACTGTATCTGTAATGGTATCAAAATCAAAAACCCCAGAACTCTTCTCATCGTCAGGGCCATGCAAAACTCCAGAGGTTGCTGCTCATTCTTCCTCGACCTCCTCGTCCCAAGCCTGCTTCTCCTTCTTAAGCAGGTCAGCCATCATATCCGGCTTGAAGATGGAGCTGCCCTCATTCTCCGAGCGCGGCACCTTCCCCAAACTCTCATCGTCAAACACCGTGCCAATATTGTCAATCCACCGCTTGCGGCGCTCCATCAGCATCTTGGTCACATCGCCGATGCCCGGGCGCGCCATGCCCGCCGCCGCATTCGCCGCCGCCGCGCCAGATGCGCCGCCGGGGCGCTTGGCCTTCTTGCTCTTGCCCATCGTCCGCGTGCGCTTCAGGTACGCGCCCTGCACCTGGCTGTCGAGGTCCTCCAGGATCGTCGTGTACTCCTGGAAAGCCATGCGCTCCTTGACCAGGTCCGTCAGCCGGGCCTTGCGCGCCCCATTAACGAGCATCTGCTGTCTGAGGCGGTCTTGTAGCAGACGCAGCCGGGCAGCAACTTCGTCATCAAAGTGTCCGTCGTAGTCGCCGTCGAAGCCTTCTTGCGGCAGGAACCCAATGTGCCGCATTTCCTGCTTGATGCGCTCGTCGACTTGCGAGTAGTCCAGCTTGGGATGTGTGGCCTTCTTCCATGCTTCGCTGGACGATTCTGGCATGTATGACGCAGGGGGGAGAGTCTTGCTATCCTCCCCATTGAGGCCATTCGTCTCGCCGTTGAGCACGTCGTCCTTGCTGTCAGTATCGCCATTGACGCTGTTCAGCGCAGGCTTATCGTCGTTCGCCGCGGTCCTCCCTTCTGGGCGCATCATTTGCAGCAGTCTCGTAAGAATCGGGCCAACAGAGAGCTTGTCCGTCTCGGCGACGTCGTCGTCCATGTTGTCGATTGAGCCTCGGGGCTGGTTTGGCTGGAGCTTATCCCGGCCTTGATTAGAGTCGATCGACATGGCACCGTCCTCCTCAGCCCATATCTCTGTGTAGTGCTTCTTGCCGCGCTTGGGCATGTTAAACGGTGTCACACGATCACCTCTTTCTCTGAGAAACGCCAGATCCTCCTCCGAAAATGGTCGGAAGTACGGTTCAATGTAGGTCGAGAATGTCGAGAAACTGATCTGGTTTGTCGGCTTTGCAATCGTGAAGTCCTTATCTGGTGGATCGCCAGCGATCTGATCGGCCAGATTCGTCTTCGGAAAGACAGCGACGGAATAGATCTCCTTGAGCTCGTCGACGGACATGCTCGAGTTTGTCTCCCGGATCTCATATACTGTAGGATCCGGA